CTAGATGACCTCTGAGGTCCCTTCCAACCTTAAGCATTCTATGATTCTATGAAGGGCAGCTGCAACTCAAGAGACCTTCCGCAACTCAAACTCAGGTTGAAAATTTATGGATTAAATCATAGTCTCGGTTGGTCTTCAAAACATTTTATAAATGGTTAAATGATTGTAATAAAAATAGAAAAATTATGTTTTGAAGAGATCTTTAAGTTTTCCTGATTTTGAGCAGTTGTATGGAAAGTATGAAAAATACAATATACTAAAGCATTCTACCACAACACACGTCAGTGAAAGTCTAAGACTATGGAGAGCGATTACAGAAAAAAAAAAAAAAAAAAACACGCAAAGAAAAATCCCGAAGATGCACAGTGTGAGCTATTTTGAGAACAAAACAAAAACAAAAACAAAACCCAACCCCCTAGACTTATGGAACGCTGTGGGAATTTGTCATGATAAGCAAAGAGAAGTACATAGTTGCAGTGCAGTCATCACTTGAGATTCCTGACTCTGCTCTCCAAATATCAGTGAAAATGCATCCACACCCTATCCTCTCTTGTAGAATGGGAATCCTCTCTTGTATTTATGCTAGGTAAAGCACATGCAATACCATGTTAGTCCTTTAGCACACACAAGATCCTACATAAATCTCATCTGTCCTGAGATTATGAGGAGGGGAAGAGCAGGAATTATAGATTATGGAACTCAAGCACTAAAGCTGCTCAACTTAATTKCTTTGCACAATGTGCATTCCTACGATGGATGATCACAGAATCACAGGACTCCACACAATGGCACACGGTACCAGGTTGTAGAATTCTTTACAGAAAGAATTGTAGGACACAGTCAAGTATTTTATATCTGCTAGATGGCTCAGAAATGGTGTAACATTTAAAGAAGGCAAGGATGGAATCACAAGCAACTGCATCACAGGGTAACTGTAGAAATGAAATGGTCTGTCACTATTTGGTGGCTGAAGGGAACACAAGCTACTATAGGCATTCTTCATCTGATTCCTTGGGCATTCAGGAGAAAGAAGTGAAGCATCAGTGCCCCCATCAGAGACCATCTTGATAAAAAAGCATTAAGAGAGGACACATGTACACCCCCTTTATGAACACACATACAAACCTGGCACATCTCTTCAAGACAGAACCATGATCTATGTACAATGTGGTTTAATGTGTCAAACTGACGTTTTATTGTAGGCATCTAAGCATGTCGTCAACAAAAAAAAATAGTATTTCAAAAATACCATCAAACTTTAAATATGAAATACAAACACATAATATATTTTCATGTATCTGCTTCAGGGTTTACATCATACCCATTAGGCATCTACTTACTTCAGAGGTGTGCATTACTTTCTGCAATTTCATTATGCACAAACATGTTCTATTAATCAAGTCTTCAAAATATGGAAGGCAGACTTTCTGATAGTTAATGCTTCTGACTTTGATCATACAGATGTGGTTTTGGTACTTACAGAGAGAATTTCTTTTACATCCTTTGTGCACTTACCTAGAATGTTCTTGAAATCTTCTGAAGATAGACTATTGTGTAGTGTCGAGTTAAATATTTGCAATTTTCACTTTTATTCACTATGCTACAACAAGGTACTAACTGTCAGTTGTAGGAATCTATTTGTGCCACTGAAATACTATCTGCAGATTTAACTCTAATCTGCATATCGCTGCAAAAGAAAGAACCACAAGTTTTATTTTGCACAATAAAAATGTTCAACTTTCAATTGCAACCCATTGTCTGCCGGGACTTGCTGTGGTTTTGTTAATGTAAAGATTACTTTAACATATTTAACTTGCAATTGCAACATTTCTGAAGCACATTTAGTCATAACTAAGATGAGAAGTAACAGGTAGCGCCATTTCAAGATTACTTAAACCTCCAAATACCTGTGTTTTTTAAAGAATGGCACTATCAAAAAGATAGACTGCCCTAAAGTGCACAGAATTGTATTTTCTTACATTTACTCAGCTTATTATACTGCACAGTTATTTTAAATTCTTTCAAAGTCTGTCTAAAAATTCTGTTTTATGACAGCAATGTTTCCAGTTTTCTGTCCTTCAGGCTCCCTCTTTCCTTCTAAAGTTTTCTTACTACAGTGTTAGAGGTAATATTGTAGAATCTACCTTTTCACAGCAGGTATTGCCTTATTTTATATAGAAGTGCCCACTTCTGGGGCTTAACTATAGACTTTTTCAAATTATTCTTCTACAGCTGAAATAAAATTACCACTTAAGGTAATTTTCTTAACATGTACTGCATTAGCAGTAGGGATCTATTTCTAGAAGTAATTCTCAATTTGGTCATTTTTTTAGATAGTCTTACATTGTTTTCACTCTTTTTCCAGAAAATGGCATTATTTTATGTAGAGGATAAGTGAAAACTGATAGATGAGAACAGATCAGAATCTTTGCAAATGTTCAGATTACCCATGAGCTGAAGAAATATAGTAAGACAAATATCAATATTTAATATACAAAAATTAAACAAAACAAATAACATAATGTCTGTTTTTCAGTGGTGGTCCCAATAGAACTAGAGGAAATGGCCACAAACTGAAGCACAAAAAGTTCCGCAGAAACTTAAGGAACAATTTCTCAACAGTGAGGGTGACAGAGCAGTGGAACAGGTGCCAAGAGCGGTTGTGGAGTCTCCTTCTCCGGAGATCTTCCAAACCCGCCTGGATGCCACCCTGTGCCCGGTGCTCTGGGTGTTCCTGCGTGTGCATCTAGTCCAGGGAGGCTGGACTAGATGATCTCTAAAGGTCCCTTCCAACCTTAAGCATTATGTGATTCTCTCCTTTCCTCCCTTGTTATTGTCGCTGTCTCAAACACATTTTCTGTCTTACCTTGATTCTTGTATCAACACAATTCCTCACAATTGTTTAGAAAACTCTCTTCTATTGGGAATTTAAGGAAATCTGCAGAAAATAATGGAAATGCTAGCAAGAAAGCAGCATGTTAATTGAAAAAAAAAATCTAGCAGTTTCCAACTGAAATGAGTTTCTATACTAATTTACTCAAAATTAAACACCTAATCACAGCATGAATGAGATTCTAAAATTAGGCTTACCCTCCAGTTGTTAACTGCTCTCTGTTATGAGATTTGGGATTAACCTCAGGGCCTGGTACGTAACAAAAATCCACAATGAAGTTTATTTGGCTTCTTTTCTTTTTCTTCCAATATGATAAACAAAGTCAAAAATGGATATATTTCTTCTAAGTAGAAATGAATACAGAGAGAAAAAAGGAGTACTGAATTTGTGGTCTTCAAAAACACTGAAGCCAGTTCCTAAGGGATTTAAGTCACAAATCCTCAACTTCAGCACCAATGCTACAGACACACAGCAGTCTCAGCACCCTCCCAGATCTCCTTCCCGGGTGCCTAATCAAAAGGCAGCCCATGATGTGCCTGATTATGTTAGGATGGGCTGCTGCCTCTTGAAAATATACAAAGGGGGAACCTAACAGCTACTTACTCAGGAGTCTTCCCTCCCTTCAGTCATCAACTCCAACAAAGGCTTGTAGGAAATCAATGTGTTTGATATCCTTAATTCTGGATCAACTAAAGTGAAGCTTATATAGACTAATATATCAAAAAGAAACTGTAAGAGGAACATGAGAGGACAGAAGTGCATCTAACGTAAGAAAAACTTGAAGGCTTGTCTATGTTATTACACTAAAAAAGTTCTTTAGAAAACTGCTGTCTATGTGCATATCTGCACAATAACCACTACATACAAGCATACTGACCTTGCCTGGGCCTTCTCCTCCATGAAGGAGGGAATTCTTCGTCTCTCAGTCAGACGAGCCAGCAAGAACAGTGGAAGGAAGAGTTCTGAACGTACAGATAGTATCTTTCCTCAGCACAACAAGACTGAAGGATTACTTTTCCTGAACTGTAGGCAGAACCACTTTGTTAAGCTCTAGCCAAGGTACAACACATCATTGTGGGTTTTTTTTTTTGTTGTTGTTTTTTCATGTGAATAGCCTTATGCAGTAAGTCCGAGGACATACGACTACAGGAACAGGCTGCAGAGGAAATCCCACTGTTTTTTGTACTGTAGTAGAAAAGGCTCTCATTGAAAATGGTGCCTAATAACACGTTTTCACGCAGTCAGTTATTCACTGCAATATTATCTGTGGTGAGACGTACAAATACCTACATTTATAAGGAGTTTGCAAAGGGAAAGTGGGGTACTTTTAAAAGGTTTTATCCTATTAATACAAAAGAGATAAGGTATGCCAGAAGCACGCAACCGATCTCAGAAGATGAGTAAGTTACTCTCCTGAGATAACAAGAGTTAGAAAAAAATCTGATTGAGAAATATGCAGCAGGCATCAATCATCACAGTTTGAATCTGTGAGCAGAGCCATCCCCACCGATGAAAGGAGCTAAGAAGCAACAGTTCTGATTTGTTCTACAAGAACACAGAAAAGACTAGGGCAACTCAAGGCCTCTGTGGGGAGGAGAGCACTAGCTGTAGCTGAGCTCTTCAGAAGACTGGCAGTAGTGGCGTAAGAGAAGATGAAGTCTCCTAAATCATGGAGTACAAGAACAAACAGAACCATCAATCCATCAAAAAGTCCAAGCTCTTTGTTTCGAGAAATCCAGAGGCACTGCTATGGAAGTTGGGTTTAAGCACATTAACCACTAGCTACCAAACACTGTATGTGTAAAGCTGAGACGTACATACTGGTATGTCCTGTTGCATACAGCTGTAAAGATTAGGTGAAAACAGATAAATTAGTGCCTCAAATACTGTTCTGTTCGGCGTGGTGGAAAAGCTTATTTCACCTTACAGAAGAAACTGGTTAACAAGAAACTTCATCCCATTACTCTAGAAGTCTTTTTGCAAATTATAAGCATTTCTTTAATTTCATAATAATTTATTGTGAATTATTTAATTATAAACACTTGCTAAAAGCCAGATGTCTGCACATCTTCCTGTCGTTCAGGATGCCACATCCACAGTTATTAAAGGTAAAGATTTTTTATATCCCTATATTCAGGCTATTCAGCATAGATGATATCTCCTTTTTTTAAAAAACATCTTTTAGTATATATTCATAATTTCCTATGTTAGCTGAGATCTTTAAAGTATAAAACACAGTTTAAAAGTATGTAAAGGTGAAAATCRGAATGGTACGAACTAGTCGCTTCTATTCACATCAACCAAAAATAATTTTATACCATAAGAGATTTAAAATAAAGGATATAGGATAAAAACCTGACAGTTGCAAATTAACTTTAATAATTCCTGTTAAGACAGTATTTTCAATGACTGCAATCACTTGTCCTTGAAAGTTTCCATTTGACTATGTGCTTGCTTATTTTGCAGACCTTCTTCACAAAATTCATCCAATGAATAGGACCATTTCGCCTAAAACAGTAAGGCAACATATAAATGAGAAAAAATAATAGTAAATAGTTAAAACCAGCTTTACTCTTCCCGTTCGTCCTTTCCAGTACATAATTATTGGCAACGGAAGGTAACTTCTACATTGCACTTGATGCAGAATCAAGTTAACACATTAAAAAAAAAAAAAAAAAAAAAAAAAAAAAAAAGCTAAGGATAATAATCCAAAGATACAGATATTGGAGATGAAGGGAAAGTATAATGTATGTCAAACCAGATAAGGAGATGAAGATATAGACAGAAGCTCTATTAAATAAAAATGTGAAGAATTAAGGTTTCTTATTATCTTCAAACAAACATATTATAAATACTGTTTACAAGCTCACAATGTCAGCAAATAAGGAGAAAAGATGAAGAGCAGTAAGATTTTATTTACTCGCTTCAACATGTGGACTGAATTCCACCTTCTCACTCACCCTATATTCTGCCTGGATTTGGTACAATCACTCTCACTTTACAACAGAACACACTACATTAATCATTACTTTTATCCTATTTATATCTGAACATCTCTAGTCATAGAGCAGAATCCTGTACTTGGAACTATACAAATACCAAATTAAAGCTCACATTTCTCCAGATTAAGGTCCCAGGCTTTTTTACAACATGATAAATGCATCAATTTTCAYATGAAAAACCTACATTCAAATCAACTCATTCTTTTTTGCCTTGCTTCTTTTAGCATTGATTTTCCAGACAAAAAAATATTTCTTCATCCTAGAAWCAAAAGAAATAATTATTTATTCATATAAAGTTTACAGACTTTCACACCTGCTGTCACAGCAACTCATTAACAGACATCATGCTGAATCTAGAGAAAGATACCAAGATCTATCTAGCCAATCTCTGTTTTCTTTAACAAAAGAAAAAAACCCCAAATACTGCCAAATATTCATCCTGACCGGTGAATGAAATGTACAGTTAAAGCAGAGGGGTCAGCTGTACCCATGAAAGAAAAAGCACATTAAGGAGACTTGAATATTATCTTGTTTTATACCTAAAGGTGAACATCCTGATATTCCATAATTGCTTAAGTAATTCTGAGCGCAACAGGCCAGTAAACAGAGTCTTCAGCTACTGCATCACTACCAGCAAGCCAGAAGCTTTGCACTCCACCCAGTACAAGAGSCAGCCCCCTTGGGGTTGCTTATCAAGGCTCTGGGTAAAGCAGTTTGGTAGCAGGTGTCTCTCATTGTGTGCAGATTTAACCTTGGATCTTGAAAATAATGGGCACAGGTTGAAAGCAGAACCCCAAAGTCATAAATAACTCACTGCTGGTCAACTGCTAATACAGCATCACCCGAGCAGCTGGGCGYTGGCCTTAAGAAAAACTGCCAAGCACCCGATAACCACGTGGTGCCAAGTAAAGTATCCACCAAGCTCTTGTATCACCTAGTCCAGTGGTGATTTTAACTTCCTGACATACATACATAYGTCTATTCAATAACAAACATACGCAGCATTTTGTAGACAGTGTAAGGAGATAAGGTCATGATTATTTTGGTTAATTTTCAAATGTGATTCTGTGGCCTATATAAAATGCTATTTCAAACACGTGGGAATTTTTGCTATTCCTGTGTCATGCTTGATGCATGAAAAAAAAAAAGTGGGCATGTACAAAAGCAACAGGAGACACATGGGAATCAAACCTCAAAAACTGAGTGACATTCAAGAATACTCCCTAGGTGAAATTCCAAATAGAAATCGGAAACAAATAATAAAAAGYAATAATGGCAAAATATTGAAACAAGTGGGTAAGAGGTAAGAGATGGATGTCTAAGCAAGAGGTTATATTTTTACTGATGTTTCCATAAATTTATTTTCATAAATTTTTTACTGATGTTTTCTACAGTCAAAAAAAAACATGAAGAAACAAAACAACAAAACAGAGAGAAGGATATCTTGCTCATTTAATGTTTTGGATATCAGATATCAGGATCAAAAAAAAGAGTTATCTTTATATACTATAGATCTTAAAAATACCAAGASAAGAAATAACACAGTATTAAGGAATGTTTTGGTATTTTAGGATACAAAGATATTAAAAAACTATTACTGTAATTGACTAACTTTAATTTTCTCTTAATTTCTTACCTGAAACCGGTGAATAAATTAAAATTAAGTAATTTATAATACAGCTGTCTTTCACGCAACCATTGTAGTACTGGTATCATTTCTATTTCTCCCGATTTATGCTCTGCAGAAAACTAGTTTAAATTAAAAAAACAAAGCAGTATTACCTTACTCCTTATTAAAAGAATTACTGACAAGTGTTACAGAAACTTTATCATATTGAAAACAAAACACATGAAATTAGATGACATCTGTGGTTGCACCATTCACAACATTTTATCTTATCTATCAGTGCAGCTTGCATGGAAATTTGAACAAGTCTTTAGATATTGCATACTTTTTTATCATTCCAAATATAAAGATGTTTCTATCATTTAAAATATACGGAATGCACATCTTATAAACAAATGCATAACATATTAAGAAAGTGAACTTTCATTCTCCCATGAGAATGCTCATTTCTGTGTGAAAGACTACAAAGATGAGATTTGTGTATTCATACAATCTCTTTTCAAACATCAGCCTGCAGTCTGACTGGCAAGGAAATAGCAAACTGGCAATAGACAGATGCACTGACATATCAGTCACTCCTTTCACAGGAGTACCAGAGATAGCAGATCTGTTACTAAGCACTAATTAATTGTTTTGAATGAATCACTCTGTGTTTTAGCCAAAGCACGCAGGAGATCTTATGAGAGACATTTTGAGACAAATTTCTTTGTATTTGAAGACAGTACTTTGAATTTATGCCCTGTAGGAAGCACTCTCAAGGCAAAGGAGACTGTTTTTATAAAATCTTAATGCCTCCACTGGCAGCAAATAGCTCTTTGCAATCTTAATACAAGTAATAGCACCAGTATCTGAGCAATGTTTGTATGTTTGAATGTTTGTCTGAYGGTCGTGTATTTCATATATGCAATGAAAAGTTTAACTTCAGCATTCAGCAACAATCCAATTATGTAAATTATGCAAATGAAGCCGTTATCACTTTTTGCATGCAAGGCTTGTGCTATGCTACTACATCAACATTACTGATGTCAAAAAGAATAAAAGATTCAAGCATGAAGCAGAAATCCAGTCTTTACATAGACATTTAAGAACTGCTGAAACATCATACAAAACAGAGCTCGGATTCTTAAGAGGCATTATTTTCAGTCCTTTCAGGCATATCCAGTACTCTGTGCACTTAGTGAGCTGGATTAGCTCTCCAATCTGTCTGAAAATTAACTTGGCAAGTACTATCAGCATAACTATCAGCTATTTTAAGCTCAAAACCAACATGTATTTGTCTTAAGGAGGGGATCAGCAAGCACTTAAACAAATAAGGTAACATATTTTAACAGGRGTGTGACATGGTAAGTGAAAAAATTAAAAGATTCTTTCTGTGGAAATCTTTGGGCTCATGTTTTCTGTGTTTTAAATAATATATTGCTACCTTAGACACAAATGATGCTGTAACAGTCCAATATTCTTTGCTTTGTCTAGCTGTATTCACAGAGACTGCCTGCAAATCATATGGGTTATAGGCAGCTTTCAAGTTGTTCCTGTCTCTTCGAAGACAATATATATATTCTCCACTATCTTTTAGCAGTGAAGGTTTCTGTGAAAAGAGGACAGAAACAACTGTCAATTCCAAAAGAGGAATGATTTATATGTAGGTATGTAATTTACTTTTCATTATTACCAGTTATATATCTATAGATTTCACTACAAGAAGAAAAATAACCGAGTACCAAAATTTTCTAATCACAAGCTTAGTAAGTAACAATACTGAATTAACTAGAAAGTTATAAAGTTTTTCTATCAACCCCACTCTAAATAATTATTCATCTGCTCCACCAGCAGGAAGTTAAATATTACTATCTTTTGTTGACAAAATAAGACAAGGTACCTTTGCTCTACTGGCTATTCTGCTTGTTCAAGATATACACACAAAATCCGTGGATGCTAAGATTCAATATAAACAATATATTCAATATAATTATAAACAATACCTTCAATATAATTGTGTGTCTGCCTGTTCCKGAGTGCATCAAACGAGGAAACGAGCACAGGAGACCCCCTACTCCTGTACACTCGCACATCAGATTATTTTGGCTGCATGAGGAGCAGACTGATCACAAGAAATATCAGCCTCATACTTAGCATGTCTGCTCAGGACAGACATCATCATAGTTATCCTAGAGGTTCTTCTGTACCTTAGGAATAGATGAATTATGCGGAGTACTAGATACAGTGTAAATGACTGCTATGCATCCAGATATAGAATAAAAAGTTCTGGTACCACTCTCATCTCTTCTCAGCATTATAGCATGGCTCTGCTCACTGCAAAATGTAATTCAACTTCTATTTCCTACTTTTAAGGTTTAGAATTAAATTCTGCTAACAATCTATTCTTGGTAAATGTCTTGTTGGTTCAAAGGACAGAATTATCATTTTCAGAAGCAAGAACAATCAAGAAATAAATATTTTAGATTTATAATCAACATTACTCCTGGAGTATAATTGCACCAAAAGTGGAAAAAGGGAAGGTGMATATTACCATAAATGCAAACTTTTCATGCCTGGTCACTTCAGCCTCTCTGGGTAAATGGTCACATGATGGTAACTTTGTTTCCCAGCCAAGTTTGCCTCGAAGCCTCAAAATATGCTTTATAACATCATCATCAATTGGTTCTGGCAGACCAAAGAAAGAAATTTTTTTTTTCCTCTTAAATATACAATCCTTACATTCATTGCAGAAGACAAACACAACGGGTATGGAGAATTGGTGTAATGTCACTAGTGCCAAGATGGAAGAAATTGAGAAGATGATTTTAAAGTTCACACTAAAAAATGTCAGGTATTCAGTTATTCCAAATGTATTTTAAAGCAAATAGAAAACAGGGATTCAGATGAACCACACTGAATTCAATTGCCAGTGATCTAGTCCTTTACGTATTTTACAAAGCAAAGTTCATATCATTCATGGGAAAAGAAAACATAACTTAATGGCCATAGGTTTTTGCAAATACTAAATAAAAAAAAAAAAAGAATAAAAAGAATAATAAAAGGGTTCTGAAGGGAGAGAAAAATTTCAGCTAAGCAAAAAGAAGGTTGAAAAGAGACCAGCCATAATTTCTTTTTAATGTCTAATACTTAATGAAAATTCCTTTGTACACAGGAACATATTAAGAAATCACACCAATCTAAAGTCCTGTGTAGGAAAAAAAAAAAAAANAGTTAGGTGGAAAAAAATAGAGATTTTCTAGAAAGCACAAAAAAAAAAATCCACAGTTGTTTCCACAATTTAATCTCTATTAAAACATGAATAAGGTGCAAGGCTTGTTACAAAAAAAAAAAAAAAAAAAAATAGAATCAAGTATCACTCTCTCTGCCAGTTTTCAAATTCAAATGACAGATATTTTGGACAGAGAAATAGCATTTCCTTAGACTCTCTCCAAAATAAAGGTAGGAAAACATAATTGTTCTTTAAGAATCATCTCTCTAATTAAAAAAAAAAAAACCACATTGTAGTTAGTTATAGACAGTCTTAAAATACAAATTCAAGTGCTGTATGAAAGTATATTAAGTTCTAGTCTAGTACTGGATATAAAAAGCAACAACAGAAGTTAGACATAGAAGAACAAGTTGTTTCTCTTTAAAATAAGGCTTAAGGTGACAGCATGTTCTAATTTAGAACTGTATCACAAATATTTCTCTCTCCACAGTTACCCTAAAGAGAGACAGAGCAAGGACAGCAGCAGTTGATTGCATTCTCTACTGTATCGATGTAAAGCTAAAGTAAACACAGTGGCTTTATGGCATAACTAAGGGCACAGTCTGGCTCTCAGATAGTAACATTCACAAACCTGTTCTGTCGTAAGAGGGAGCTCTTTTCCTCACAGATTTAATAGATAGTCTCCCAACTTTTGGTTGCTCACAGATCTTTTTATTGCAACTTGCTTTCAAAACAGCTGTTTGAATTTCAGGCCTAGTATTATCTGAAATATATATATATTAATATATATAATAATTATTAATCTATTATTAATACGATCATATTAATAATTAGAGGGTTTCTGCAAATTCTGGGTCTCAAAACGTATTCTGACAGAGACAGATGATGATGATGGGGGGAAAGAGAATCCTGTTTCCTTTTGCTGATAATATATTAAAACTTGTATTAAGATCATAYACTGGTAAAGCCTCAATAAGAAATGTTATACTTGTTTCCAGTATATCCTGGGAGTTAAGGAAGAAAGCGTTCATTTTTAGCGCTTGCTTTACGGARAAGTTTGGAAATTTTGTTCTTTCAAGTACCAGGAAATCTTTGGATCCACTCAAGAAAGCAATGTTCTTTTTGAACATTCTTTTCACACTGTTGAAAGTTCACTTTTGGTTGCATCTCCACTATTCCACTATTCCATTTTCTTCATTTTTTTTCCCTGAATATATGAAGTCCTTTAGGATTCTTTTTGCACACACACCACCTGCAAGCAGTAGTATCTACACTCCTGTGGTGCACTAGGAGCAGCTTTCTGTTCTACAGACCTCACAGAGCTGACTGCAATGGATGCTCTGTTACATCTGCCCACTGTAAAATTATACCTCTCATGTACTTTTACAAGACCACCTAGGCTGTGTTATTTTCAATAGCAACCACATAAAACAGAAGTAAGCAATCAGACCACATTTTAAGTTAAAAACTGGAATGCTTGTGACTTGGAGGTATTCTTTCTTCAGAATGTCCTAAAGGATGGAGAGAAAACAGAGAGAACGCCCATGCATATTTTATATTAAGAATCCTTACAATGATGAGCAAAGAAAGTCGTACTTATTTATTATTACTCCCCCTTCTGTCATTTTAGGTACTTTACCATATGCAGTAGAAGGTAGTGATGTGTCAAAAGAGTTCTGAGCTCCTTTGCTAGCAGACGCTGTGGAAAGTGCTGTTTTCAAATTCTCATTTTGTGACATTAAGGATCCCACTTGTGTTAAGCTCCTATTCAGAKTCGTTGTCTCATGCTCTGACATTCTAGCAGGCTGACAAAGAGAATCCTCCCTTCCCTCTTCATGCTTTCTTGAGAGTCTGTAATTAACAAAGTGCTCTTTCAGGAAAAACAATTGAAGATTCAGTCATACAGGCAAAATAGAAAAGTCATCTGTGATTTATATCATGGTTTGCATTTATGATTAAGATACAGCTGTCTTCTGGCACAGCATGAAAAAGCTATTCACTAGGAATGAAATACACAGTGGGGTCGGGAAGAAGATTAAAGCCATATTCCTTAAACTTGAACACCGTGTGCACAAAAAAAGCACTATTRCATAGAATCCAATCATTATTCTCAAAGAGAGCTTTAAGATTAAACTATGAATTTTAATTGTGGAAAAGAAAATCAAGAAAAAAAAATTGCAAAAAAAAAATTCCCCAAATCTGCCTCATATCAGCCTTTATTAAAACATAAGGAAAATAACTGTGAGTAGTTAACATACAAAAATAGGACATAGAAGATGACTGTCCTATCTCCTACACTAAGACTAGCTTTTTATGTGTCTTGGGGGTGACATAGCCTCTGCATGCACTAAAGCAAGCACAGAAGCACAGTTCACATGTTTTCATCTGTGAAGCTTCAACTATTTTCATTTTTCAAGATTATTTGATAAATATATATTTATATATATATATATAAAAAACTCTGAAGGAAATAATGATGCAAAATCTGCTTTCATGTAATTAGCCTCATCTTCAGTTACAACTGAAAAGAAAAAACGACAAAAAAGAATTAAGATACCCATGTAAGATACCTATGCTGGGGCTAACTCTCGGTCAAACTTAATTGTGAAAATTGCAAAATACTCAGGCCACTTAATTCAAACTTCGAAAGCTAATTTGTGTCTGCTCAAGATCACATTAACGTGGCAAGGGCATCAAAGAACAACCAGTGGCTGGAATTGTCTTCATCTCGCACGTCAGGTATTGAAAGGGTTTTGTCCCAAATTACTTGAATTGAAAGTAGGATTTGACTGAATTCTACTCCTTTTACAATGACTTCACTAGCCTTTCTCCAGATTTTCAGTGACAGAAACAAGATCAGACTCTATTGCCATGGGCCAAAATTATAAAGTTCATGCTGGAGTGTTAATGTAGCCTTCACAAAGATGCAGTCAAGCTGTTTCACATTTTAAGTAGCAATGAGATGTGAAACAAAAACATATCACAAAGAAATATTTTACATATTGATATCCAAAACACACGCCTTACTCTTTTTTTGCGGCTTTGTGTTTCCTCTCTGTATATCCTCTGTAAACTGCTGTGCGGAGAATAGAGTATTTCTTCTCTATTGAGGGTGACTGAGAACAAAGAGTAGAGAAATACATTAATTTTAAYGACTATTGAACAGGTGATCAGATATTATACTCTAAAATCAATGAAGAAATTTAAGGACTATGGAAAATGTTTTCAAAAGCACTACCTGATGGCTTGGCTCTGCTTTCACTGCAGCATTTTTCTGTTATTTTATGTATATGAAATTTTGTTTTTAAAAAGCATCCTGACAAATGACTTAAAAATAACTGGGCTTGAAACACAACCATTAATGTATTTGCAGTAGCATTTGCATCTGTATTTGCATTAGTATTTGCATACAGAGTATGAAATTCTGTTTTCCTGTATCTCATCAACCCAGAGCCGAAATAGGTACAAATCTTCAGAAAAAAAACTAAATTTAGAACCACAAATTGTGTTTTTCAGGATATTTAAGCCAATAATGGCGCACTATTGCCATTTGATTTAGAAAATAATTAGGCACATACATACTTTCACATTTAACTCTAGTTAAGGACAACATACAATCATAGCAATGAAATCAGATTTTTAGTACAAGAGGACTATAGCGAGGAGGATATTAACAGCAATTAAAACCTTAGTACTCATTCTGGCCTAAGACAGTTTACCAGTTTACTGCTGTCTTTCTCCCTGCCCTCCACCAGTTCACACGCAATATTCCTGTCGTTGGTCACCATGTGTGGAGCTTCTGTCCTCTCCGGGTCAAGCCAGAGACGAGCCATTAATTTTTCTCGCAGCATTTTGTTTTGCGCATCCATCTGGGGCAGGGATCTTTCATTCTAGTGGCATGAAAACAATCAGAGAACAACATTTGCACTGACAACTGTCTATCCATGCTTAACACTTGCTGAAATCTGTGTATGTCATTGGCAGCCAGGTTGTGTTGGGGTATGTGCTTCTGCTGGGCTGAAGCCAGAACTGCATCCAGTCTGCAAATTGAAGACAGTTAACTGAACACTCTAGGGAGCAAATTGCAAATTTACTTGCTTTGACAGGGAGTAAAACAACTCTAAAGACAAACATGCACTTACTGCATTCCTTGTAATTTAGATATGAGAAGGTACAGTTTTACTATTAAAAGAGAAATTGTATTTTTAAAACATTTTTAAGAATTATGTACTATGCACAGTAGATATTCAAAGTCTGAAAAACTAGATTAAAAGATGCTTTTTTTAACATATTCTAAAACCGTTCAAAAATATCCACCTAATTACCTATTTTAAAGAGAATAGTGATTTTTTAATTCAGAAGACTTTAGGTAGTAAATAAGTATTTAAAATGAAGATGTAGTACAAGTCTTCATGGCTTGCATGTCTCACTTGAATGTCATACTAAGCCAGCTCCTCTCCCCRTTCCCTCACAGGTTTCAGAACGATGCCTTATAGCAGTACAAAAGCACAGAAATGATGTTTGACTTGCTGAACTGCTCAGTATCCTCAGCTCTAGCTGGYGTCACTACCTCCCAGAGTTGTACTTAGCCACAAACAATTAGTTACCAACTGCAAATATCTATCAAATTGAAATTAAAATGGATTAATCTAGACCAGTATCTACAAACTGGCTCAACCTATGCTAACCCACTGCGTAAAGCCAGTCTGTTCTATACTCRCTGCCTGTAGATGTCACTACTCTGCACCAAAAACTGTTGAAAAGGGTCAAGTAAAAGCAGTTTCCTCCTCAATTGATTTGGCCTTCTTAATAAATAAACACATAACAGGAAAACAGCCTGGCAGGATCCGTGATTCCTGCATTGCCTTGATTTCAGATGTTACCAGTTTACAGCATGTCCCTTACAGAATTAAAAACTTCACTTGTCACCAAAAGTGAAAAATGAGGCCCCAATGTCTGCTATCTCCAAACGATGCTATTTACACTCCATTATAGATCTTACAAATTACTTAGCCCAAATAMTTACGTTCAAGAAGCACCACAATAGTATTCTGTATACTGCATTTACAGTGATTTAAACAGAGCAAACAGAAGAATAAAAACTGTTTGACATTTTAGTTACTATTATACATTTCATAGCAGAAAGCATACTAAGTAGATGAAATATGAACTGGCAAAGACTGTGTCTTGTAAGATGCTTAACCACCAGCTATGGTGTCYGGATTCTGAAGCTGCAGGAGAACGTGGCGGCCTTGCCTGGTCGAGGAGGGTAAGGCAACTCACCCACAAATTCCTTGCACTCGAGTTTCTGCTTGTGACTCTAGGATCCACAGTCAGCCATCCACGCACGGGATCTTAAAATTAGGAAAGGGAAGGAAGGAGGCTTGTTGCATCCCTGTGGCTGAGATCTCTTCTGGAAACTACATCATCTTCCTCAGTCACACCCACAGCGGTGCCAGGTTACTGTGCTCACTGGATCAAAGACCAAGTGCAAGATAGTAAAGCATGAACGCAACTTAAATTTCATCTGTATACACAAAGCAGTTTGCTYAATCCTGGTTCTGATTACACCGCAAAAAACATGGAAGTTCATCCTATGAGCATCTGGAAACAAGACTTTTTTTGACAACCCCAAAGTGTGCAGGGGCTAGAAGTCACAGCTCTAYCTTTACACAAGAAGGGTACTATCCTTCCCGGAGTGTTATTTTATAAACTAAGCAGTTTCAGCAGAGAAGCACTGTGCACGAGAATCTGTGTTGAGGGGAGCTCCAAGCAGCAACCTCTTCAATCCCCAACTAGACCCAAGCCCCCCACCCACACAGCACTACAGCAGCCCGCGCGGGATAGTTCTTCTCCCGGTAAATCATCTCACTGCCGCCAGCACCACCGGAGCTAAACGCTGCAGGGCCGCGCTGCTGCTTCCCTCCCCGCGGCCGGCTCGGGAAGCCCGGCCCGCCTCGCCCGGCCCGCGGCGCCGCGGAGCGGCCGTTACCGCCAACGGCCGCGCCCCGCCCCGCCCCGCCCCGCCCCACACGGACAACGGCCGCGCGGCGACCGTTGCTCGCGCCGCCGCTTGAGCCGTTGCGGCTGGGCGGCAAACACGGAGTTTATCTTTACGCCTTGCGAAAGTTCGCTTGGTGCCACCGTGAGCGCGGGTCAAAGCTGCCTGCAGCTCCAGCAAACGCCTCGAGCTGCTCGGAGGCTGTGGGGAGCTCGAGGACGCTCGGGTAAAGCAAAGGGGTAAAATRATAACAAGCTACCACACCCCCACCGAAGGGGATTTTTTTTAAAAAGGTAGAGCCACTTAATAATTTTTTTTTTAATTTCTACCTAATATCTTGAAATTAATCTGCTTAAAATCTCTAAAGCCCTCAATGTATATATAGGTCGTATCCTCAACTTGCACTTCTTTAATCACTATTTCATAATTAAAGAAACAGTGCTTGAGAAATTCAAGGATAGCTTATCTAAACTGCCAGATTCTGTTGGAAACCTAAAAGAAAATAAAAGTCTGCCCAGAAGGAACTAATCCACACTTGATTTGACCATACGAGGCTTTCCTAAAGATTTAGATGGTGACTAATCCTTGATTTGTTAATCTGAACTACTTGCACCCAAATAAAACATGAAAATTTGAAAGACATTAATATGAATATGGTCTGACTCAGTAACAAGTGTCATATTGAGGAAACAGTATTTCATAAGATATAAAAATAATTACACACGGGCAGGAGACTCGTCTGTTTTCCCATTTATTCCCAGGAGATCTACACGCAAAGCCCCCACTGAAGTGACCTGCAGTTAATTTTGACAGTTACAAGACTACATAGAATCAGAATGCCGGCAATTTTTTTCTTCCCCCARCTATTAATATGTATGACTTAATTGATATCTGCAGATTTTTCTGTTTATTGATATTTGTATTTTTATGAAGGATTTAAAAAGGACAACTGCAGAGAACTCTGACTTGCCATACCAGCCTATTAGGCTAGGACAGCTTCAGTCATTGTGTCCCATTCTATATGGCTGCAAGCACAAGCACATTCCCTTTGAATGCAACCAAAAGAAAACAATCTTTTCTAAATACTACTGCTAATCTAGTAGTTAATTTGAGAAGCAGTTCAGATTATGTTTGCTGGCTGAAATAATTACATGAATCTGTTTAATGCTTGAAACCAGAAATATTCCATGTGGCTTTGGAATTGTTTACCTGTTTTATTGTCACATTTGATTATTTACACAGTATTTTGTAGGTTTATGGATGGTTTCTGTTTGCACGGAAGTTTTGGATCCCCTTTGTACTGAGATAAATAGCATTATTGCAGGTTTGAGGTTAACAAGCTCCCAATGAAACAAAACAAGTTAAAATGAAGGCATACTTTGCTGAAGCAAGCAGTGTACCATGCTAAGGATATGAGGAAGTGTTTCTAAAACAATTTGGACCTTAAAACRTTACAATACACATTCAAGGGTATTCAGGAACGGTTGGATAATTTTAAGAGACAAGATATTTTTCCACTCCATCTAATCCATAAATCCAGATGTCTTAAAAAAAAAAAGTGCAATCATTGAGTGTAACTGAGAACACTAGAACATGCTAATTAGAAAAATATTCTAGATCTACCTAAAAGCTACAGATTTTTACTGAGTTGTTTGTATTGCAGTCATGCAAAGGAACCCTTGTAATGGATTCCTTGTAGGTCCCACCTTAAATTGGCCTTSAGAGAGAAGAACCAGATGTTAACAATAGAGGAGCTGGCTCCAGGTGCTGACAAACAAACAAGAGTACACTGTGATTCAGAACTCACACCAAGGTTTTCAATAATAAGTAACACATGATTAACAGATTAAGAGCTTATAAAAACAGAAATCATACTTTCCTGGATCTTTCTGGGATGCAAAGCTCAAGGTAATTAGAAAAATTTTTACTGAAGAGAAAAAAATGAAGGTGCCCAGTCAATGTTAGCACTGTCTGATTTAGGCAACTTCAGTCAAGTCAAATGTTTAAACTATAACACTGCCGTGTCTTAGTTAAATTAGAATTTAATTTAGAATTAGGTTAGCATACACTTTCCTGTGTTAGGCAAGAGATGCTAGATACCAAGKACAAAATACCAGAGAAAGCCAGGAAGCATTCTCCAGTTCTCAGACTCTGAGCTACAGAGACAAGACAATATAAAAAGGAAGGAAAATTATATTAAGCCATAATGAAAAAGTTAATAGTATTTTTTTATGTAAACAATTCAGCAGAAACATTACTAAATACTACTAAGTATTTAATTGTCTAAGTTGGGAGATGACTCTGTTAACAATCTTTCACAACTCCCTAAATGATTATGGCCCAGCTAGTATGTAATCTAATGTACAGCAAAAATTAAAAAGGAGGTCTATATAAAAGCGGAACATTTGTAATTTAGTCATGCTGCTTAAAAAAGTTGTAGCTGATTTACCTAACCAAATATTTAAATTGAACCAAGAATATTCTCATAGATTACACCAATTTAACTACATAAAATTTAAGCTGATCCAAGTTGCTCACATAGTCTGTGATTCTTCTATTGAGTTAAGTTCTACTGAATTATTGGCAATTCCAACATCAATGTAATCCCACATTAAACTCGTTATGAGTCATCTCCCAGTCATATCTTTCAGTTCCACATGAGCGTTGGCATTTTTTATTGTTTATTTTTATACCCACTTTGATAGAAACTATGAAACAAACTTAGCGGTGTGGACCAAACTAGGTCCCCATGTCAGATTTCAAGTCCCTATTCCCATGACTGGTCATGGCAGAATGACGCAGAGGTCAGAGGCACGGCACTTTTATCAAGAGAAACAGACAACATACCTAGACTTGTTCTTAAAAAGTAAAGCTAAGCTGTTTGGGGATAGATGTTCCCAGAAGTCTGAGGAAGACATACAGCATGGAAAAATTTGCCCAAGAAGTAAAAAGGTACTTAAATTATTAACAAGCGCAGAGACTTACAATCTGTTGTTACAAGAAACCTTCAAAATAAGTTACACTACTACCTAGTTCATAACAAATTAATCCATTTTAATACTACTGTCCTTTTCCATCATTTGTGCATGAGATTCCCAGGAAGGTTAGGATGTGTGTTTTTCCTTGCAAATAAAATAAAATCTGTTTTTTTGACATTTCCAGACACTTAATAACAAAGGGCCTTAACAACAGGTCTTATTTCCATCTGAAAAAAATATCTTACTGGTAGACATGAAGTTGTCTTCTGGGGGAGAACTTGTGCACACGAGAGCCTCCCAGAGCAGTYAGTGGCAAGTACCAAAACAGGAGAGTAATCAAAAAGTAAGGAAGGGCAGAAAAATGCTGCAAACACTACTGAACTGACCCCCATTAGAGGGTGACTGTCAATGTCCTGTTACGTGCAGAGAACTGAGGAGTATCCCAGGCTCCCTGGAGTTGTCTAGAGTAACCTGGAAGCGATATGAGGAATGACAACATGCAAACAGCAACAGGATCAGTGCCAGCTGCCCTTCCTGCCAGCATAGCAGCTTTTCAGCAAGAAGCGTTGGCGCCCACAAAACATTCATTGAGCTGCTTGAGCTGCTCTTGCAAAGCTCACTGGCGTAGCTGGCCACCCTTTGTTGGGCAGCTGGGAAAAGCCTCTGTTCTCCCTCTGGCTTTGCCTTCCACACTGGCAGAGAGCAGGAATTGGGGTCAGGTTCTTGGCCCAGTTCCTGCTCCTCAAAAGCCAATGTAACAACATCACTGTAYGGAACAGTGCAAGACAGTGTACATTCATTTTCATGAAAAGCTGTTGGAGATGAGAGTTTCCCTGCAGCCTCCGAGGCCTTGCTGGCCACAGCTGAGTGTGTCTCTTTTCTGCACGACTCCTCCCCTTTATCTCCAAAGCAAACCTCATCTTGAAAAGCAAAACGTGATGCCAGCAGACTGACTTTTTCTTTGGCTTTGTTTTCCTCAAGTGCTTCTTTCCCCATCTTTACTGCAACCTGGTGCCGTGTATCAGGTCACTCTGAATTGCTTCCTCATTAATTACAGYGACACTAATTGGACTGCATTAGCTTGACTTCTTTGTGGATATGACATGCTTCTTAAATAAGTCAACAGAGCACCCTAAATTCCTTTTTTAAAGTGTAAAGTAAAATGAACACCGCACAGTTTGGAAACAGCCAATACATTCAATATAAAGCCTGGTTTAGAATACAATGCTGGCATTCTAATCTTACTTCTTCCAGCAGCTATTGCTCTTTCCTCTCGGGAGACTGAATTCTCTGAGAGTSTCCTTCACTTGAAGATGCATTCCATGAATCAGCCTGAGAACTTGTATAAAGCCTCAACACCCTCTTCATCCAAGTGAACTTATCTTTTTCTTTCTAGAATTCTCACTTCATAAATAGTACCACCAGCATGCTCTGATTCCACAGCAATATTTATTCAGAGATCATTATGTACTCAGATCTCAC